CGTGCCTCCAGCCTCCTCCGCTCTGCTGCCCCGTTGCCTCGGCGGGGCCGCCTTTTGTTCCTCCCGGAAGGTGTCCCCCGCCCCCACTGCTTTGCCGCAGCTGGATAAATGCCTGGCTGATAACCCACGCCGGCGTTCTCGGCGCGTGTGCCTCCTTCGGTTCTTCTGGCTCTGCAGGGGGTAAGCGGGACTCTTTGCTGCCCCGTGGGCCTTCCGGCGTCCCAGCTCCCCTGGGACAAGTATCAATTGTATAAAACCTGTGATGAAGTGTATCCACTGGATTTATGACCAGTTTATCTAGCTGAAAAATAACTCTTAGGATTGAGGTTTTATGATCCTTGTACCAGACTGTGTGAATCTTCAGTCACTAATTCAATTCGGAGGAGATTCGGCCCAATTTGGCGGCTGAATCTCCGAATCTGAATCTAATCAGGAGTCCCATTAATCTCTCCGAATTGAATCGGAAGCCTCCAATTCAATTTGGAGAGATTCAATGATTCAGATATAGACACAGCTTTATATGTTTTTTGTTAATTGCTCCAAGCATGTTTTTAAAGAGTAGATAAAAAAAGGTTTTGAGCCAAATTTACACAGTGTTAATAAGAACAGATTTTTTTCTCTCACTTTTTATCTGACTGACTTGATTTGGGAAATTTATAATAAAATCATTTGAGTATTGCAAAATTTTGCATAAATTCAATCTTGAGTTTCTGACACAAATGTGAACAATAGTCCTGCATTTAAAAAAAAACATTAGTGTGGGGAAGGAAAAAACATTTCTTTGCAAAAAAAATAATTAAATCATATTTTGTAGACTGGGTAGAAGGCAAGGCAAGATGGCACTTTTGAGACTGGTTCAGAGTGGCACCAGCTTTTGTAAGTGACAGCCTGCAAGTTAGTCTCTAAGGTGCCACCCTGCCACTACGTGCTGTATGACTTCAGACTAACACTGCTAACCACATTTTTTAGACCGGGTAATGAAAGTTTAGTATTGGGTTTGGGTATCCTTGTTAAAAAAAAAAAAAAAAAAAAAAAGTAAATAAAAATATTTTAAGACTGCCAGTTAGCTCAACCTCAAAGATCATCTGAGGTTAGTACACTACTCCTTTCCATATTGCATTTTTCAATGGTACCTTAATTTCAATAGTTCTATTTTAAACTGGATCCTAAACAGTCTCTTGGTTTACAAAAATGGCTCATGAATTATACCTCATACTTTGCTTCTGACCACATTTTAACTGTGTCCTGAATGCACCTTACATAGCACGCATCCCCATTACTGTGTCAAGGATTCTTCTCCCTTGAGAGCTGTTTTTAAAGGGGATGTTGTTTTCTCTCTATGTTCATTTTACCTTGTGCTTTTCTTGTAGGTGAAGCAGCTCTAAGAGGTGAGCCCAAAATGCAGTCTCTTCCAGTATCCTCTGCTCTAACCAACCATCGAACAGGTCCTCCTCCCATCAGCCCCAACAAGAGAAAGCTCAGCATGGACCAAGGGGATGATGAGCTAGACTGTGAAAATGAACACATCTCTAAAATGAGTCGAATGTTCAGTCCACACCTGTAAGTTTCTGTTATTTAATATCTTTACTTTGTAACCACTTAACATCCAATACCACTGCTAACCCTTAACTAAGCACATTTTTATGTGCTAAAAATCATACTGTGCATCACATAGAGGGCCACACTCTTTCACTGTTTCTTTACAGAGATCAAAGGAATTACATGGCAACTCTTTTTACAGCCAGGTAAAAAGAATTACTGAACATTTACATCAGAACATTTATGTGTATGGTTTTAAAAATACTCTTTTCTTCTTTCAACCTGCTCCTACATCCCCAGCTACTAAGCTCACTAATCCTGGGGGGGAAAGAAAGCCAGAAGTGCTTTGTATTTTTATGTGACTGGGAGACTTGAAGCCAGCTGCTTGGGAGAGTCAGTACTGACTACTGGACAGGCTGCAGTTGTTGCTAAAGTCATGTATGTGATCCCACTGCAGTGCTGATGCTGCATTTCATTAGGATGTAAAACTTTCCAGACAGGTAAGATAGAAATGAGTTCAGGTATTCTGGGGGAAGATCGTCAAGGCTTTGTTCTTGCTGTGCTCTCTCATTCCAAAGAATGCAGCTCTGGTTGGCGGCATGTCCAGGCTTAAAAATTATTTTCATTCTTGACTAGAGGAAGTCATCAGAGTAGTTCAGGATTCAGAGGTAGCTTGATAACTGCACGCTGTTCCTGCTGCCTCAGCTCAAGCAGCCCTCTGCATTCCATGCATTCTACTCTACTTTGGACTGTTGTGTTCAGCCATAACATGAGGACAGAGGTATTTATCCTCAAATAAATCACCATAGTGCTAGTCAGAGGCTGGGTCTGCAGTCTGCAGGCTTGGAATTTGTTACCAATCAGGAATCCAGCACTGAAGTAATGTAAAACAATGAAAGCTCACAAGTGGGGAAGGACTTCTCACTTACAGTGGGGCTTTTTTTTCAACTTAACTTTTTATAGTCCTTTACTCTGCCCCTTGCAGTTCAGAGTTCTAACTTTAGAAAGAAGTATTTTAGTGGCAATAAGTAACACACACAGAGATATGTATGCAACTTATAATTTTATATAACTTAATAGAAAATGTATATAATTTTCAAAACTTGCATGTTGGAAATATAATAAAACACAGCTGGTAATTATATATATATATATATATATA